ATTGACGAGGATCCACAGTTGAGTAGAATTTGATTTGTGTATTGGTTGATCTAGAGAATATAGTTGATATGGTTGGACTTGATTACCTCGGTTCATAGAGTGGAAGCTCATTGTTTGGATTCCTTGATCTTGAGGGCTAAGAATGTTGGCGTATAAATGGAGATGGCAAATGCCTGCCCCAGTTAACATCAATATTCTTTATATTTGATGCGATCAAAAAAATATCCCGGGGGGGGTTTTTTTTTTTGGGGGGGGGGGGGGGGGGGGGGGAGCCGACCCCGAGAGAGATTTCTTTATTACCTAAAAAAACACAAGATAAACAAGAGACACTAAGTAAAGGGAAGAACAAACTTTTACAAGACGCACTTACAAACTTTTGACTTAATCGACTCAAGCAAGACACCTTACAACTTCGACACAAACGACACAACCTAAACCTGCTTTCCAAATGTTGAGAAGAAAGATATAGATGGAATGGAACTTGCGGAGAGACGAAAGGGATTAGAAGCCGAGAAGAAGGGTGGAAAGTACTCGCAAGTCTTTCCTAGAGGAGATGAGAAGGTGGACAAAGCTCGCAAGCTCTTCCGAGAAAATCACAAGGATTTCTTTTCAAAAATTCATATATCACTCTCTTTTTAAAACATTACAAAACATCTCATAGACTCATAAGTCTCATATATATATAGGTATGAGAGGAGAAACCAAACAACCATATAATTGAATTCTCACAGGAATCCAAGCAACACAAACAACGAAAAAGCCCCCCCAACTTCACGGGAAACAGCACAGCCAAGACCCGAAGAGGCAGCCGCGGAAACCCAAGAGGCCAAGCACGGAACCGAGGCACCAGGGCACGGGAAAGGCCACCCAGCACGGAAAACCAGCAGCCCACCGAGGAAGCCAAGGAGCCAAGGCACATAAACAACCAACCGTGGAAGCCAAGGAGCCAAGCATGGAAAACAGCCAACATAGGGATTCCAAAAGTCATTTTGGAATCCCAAGGGACAAACTAAAATTTAAGAGATAAAAACTATAAATAAAAATTATATAATTAAGATAATTAATGAACTAAAACCTAGCTAATAATGAGCTAACCTTTAGTTCAATAAATGAACTAAAAACCAGCTCAGAATGAGCTAAATTTCAGCTCAAAATTTATGAGCTAGTAAGCTCAAGGGAAGTCAAAACCAAATATTTTTGGGTTTGATTTGACCCCCCTTTGCCTACATCAATATTTATCTTTTATTTGCAAGTTTTTTTTCATGTTCATGATCTTCAATATTTGCCTCTACTACTTGAAGTTAGGCTGAGAATCTTCATTTACATCACTTGATCAATGTATGCTAATGAGGAAGATATGAGCCTTTGATGAGATAAATAGATTTTACTAGAAAAATATCGAGACTGAAGTTTAAAGATATTAACTCTTCTTCTTCCCTATCTCTTTCTCTCCCTTTCATTCCCTTCTCTGTTATGATATCTATTCCCTACAAACCCTCTTCCTATTTCATAATAGTTATCATTTCACAAAAGTTTCTTTATGAAAATTTTTGCGAATTTATGAGCTTTTATTTTCACATTTTTGTTGTCATCATCCAATGATTTCACGATAATGTTTATATTGTCTATTTGTTTGTTAGTGAACAATTAGTCCTTGTGAAAATTATTGATCATAATGGCTTGAATGATCTCATAGTTTCTTTCACTTTTGAAATGGAAGGAAATGCTTATGGAAGCTTCATTTTAAGTGATGTGGTGTGTTATGACTTAAAAGCTCGGGCTATCGAGACATGGATGAATAGACGGATGATTTTTTTTTTTTGACATTCTCACATCATTATAGAACAAAATCTCAATTTGAGACTTCAGCTTAACCATAAACTTTATTTATGAATATTTCATAGATAACACACTTTTCTTCATAATACATTTTTACATTAATACTAACATAAAACTACTACATTAAAATTTTTTACGCTACCTAAGATTCTAAGCTATCTGTAGTTGTACTCAAACTCTCCTCTTTCTTGCATTTAGGCAAACGAGAATTTTTCTAAAAAATAGTTATCAATTAAATGATGAATTAAATAATTTAATGTATAATTATAATTTTAAATTATTATAATTTTAAAATTTGAAAACAATATGAATGCTAGTCTATGTAAATAAATCAATATCATTTTTTTTCATGTAATAGTAAGAAAGTGTAGTTGTAATTATAGCAGAATAAAGTACTTTTAGCTCTCTTTATATTCTTCATATCTTAATTTACATTATCTTCCTTGTATAAATTGTGTAACACTAAAGGAACACTATCTCACAACCTTTCCAAACCTGGTCCTGGCGGGTAGGTAACCTTTTTTTTTTCATTCACATCAGCGGGTGCGGTGTATCTCCAACCAATAGTGTAAGGGGACGGATTTCATCATTCAACATGCACATACATTCACTCTATATAACTTGTTCATTTGCATTTCTCTCGTCATGCTTTTACTTTATTCATATTATTTGTTTTTCATATCATGAAGTAGTTATTTGAGATTCAACGATGAAAAATACTATATGTCATTTATTTCAATATGAGGGTTTTGTAAATGAAAGTGAGATAATGACTTTGAGAGTTGCTTCCCTTATCATGATACCTATATCATGTAAGTTTTCTTGTTAGTTCCTATGTTTATTTTTTTACTCATAACAAAACGAGATAGGTACATCAAATTTTCTAAATTATAAAAAAAAATTAATATTTTAAATTATCTTCTAATCTTCAATATTTGGACTAAATATTTTTAACTTTAGGTGCTTGTACATTCATTCAACCTAGATATTTCTTCTTATTATTTTATTTAAATATGTGATTACTTAATATTTAATCACAATCACAATTGACTTATTGCTTCTCCCAATATTATTAAACTTAAATATTTATAAATTATATACAAAATTAAACTATATTAATTATTTATTAGTTTAAAATATTGCATTTATGAAATTTTAGAGGGATTTTTTTTGAAAATATCCTTTATACATTTCTATATACTCTTCCTCTTCTTCATCTTCTTCTTTTCTTGCTCTTCTTATTCTTCTTCTACAAAAAACCATAGAAATTTTTCTTAGGCGCATAACTAGATCTAGGAAGTTTAATTTGTAAGAATAAACTTACCTTTTGACCTGAGGAAGAAAGGTTGTTAAAGGTTCCTTAGCTGGCTCCAATCTCGCTTTCTTAAATAGCCAATTAAGTTGGTGCATGATCGATAACATATGCAACATCTATATATGCAGGTGTCTCAATAGTACTATTGTATGACACATTAACTTAATTTATTTATAATTCAAACTCTTGTGCATCACATTTACTCTTAGAAATAGGAACCAAAATACTCTTTCTCCACTCATTTGACATCTTTTTAATCTTCAAAATAATATTAAAAAATTTAATAAGCCAAAAAATTCCTTCATCTCATAAGCATTTCCACACCTCTATTGGAATATCATTGGGTCCAACTGGTTTTTTAGACTTCATTTTCTTTAAAGCTTATCTAACTTTGATTTTATTAATACAACGATAAAAATAAAAATCTATATTTTTCAATTAGGGTGCTAAGGTCACTAAAATCAATAATATTCTTATAATTTTCATTGAAATGTTTATTGAAACATCTCATCCACCTATGTTGAATATTCTCTTCTAATAAAAACATATTTTGATCTCCATCCTTAATGCACGTCACTTGATTTAGATCCTTCTCGTATCTTTCGTCCTCCTTAGTATTTAATCCATTATATAAATCATTAAAAGTTAAATTTTTTTATCGCATATTGTTTTTTTAGACTCCTTACGGGTCCTATATCTTTCTCAATTTTATGAGCTTTTATATCTAAACCAATTTATATAGCAAAACTTCTTATTTTTGATATTTTCTTATATATTTTGATTCCACCAACTACTATTTTACTATTATGATCTTTTCCTTTTTGATAGTCCAAGTATATATTTTGCAACATTCTTAGTATCACTAGTCACTTTTTCCTTCCCATGTAACATTAAACCCCTTCATGCACAATCACAATTTTGAGATTTTGAATCTTACTCTCAAAAATATGTTTGCTAGCATCTAAACTTAGGACAATATTTTACTTTATTTTTCATATTTGCCCCTTTATCTTAAAGTTTAAAACTAATAAGCGGTGCTAAGTGTATAAACTTTCACTAGAAATGAATTTATAATCTTTACAATATAAATGATCTATTTTTTTATAAGAAAATAATCAATCTGAGTTTACTATATCTATTCTTATAAGTGATGAAATGCTTTTCTCTTTTTTAAATAAGAATTAACAATTTTAAAAGCATAAGCTAGAGCAAATATCATATGATCCTACCACTTTCATTAGTTGCTCCAAACCCTTAGCCTCCATGGATGCTTTTAAAATTTTTTTTCACTCTACCAGCATGTCCATTTAAATCTTCCCCAATAAAAATACTTTCTTCAAGAGGTTTTATTTATATTAATTCTTCTAAATTATTTTAAAATTTTAATTTTGAGCACATTCAAACCTACTTGAGTAGCATAAACATTTATAATATTAATAATATTAGCATTAACAACAATCTTTAAAGAAATAATTCTGTCTCCAATTTTATTAATTTCTACAATATTATCCTTCAAATTCTTATATATAATCATACATACATTATTTCTAGTAAGACTCCTACTTGAATATCATAGTTTAAATTTTAAACTATCAATCTCCTAAATTATTAAATATTAAATATTAATTAATTTAATTAGGGTTATTACATGGGTCATATATCTTTGTTTTGATATCTTTATTTGCTTGTTTCTCAACATGATAAATGTTCTTGTAGTTCTTGCTATTTGAGATGGTTATGTGAACCAAATGTTGTTACTTTTTGATTCATCAAATTTTTTTTCTTTTTTTTTTTAAAAGTAGATTATCCCTCTTAAACTTATTCTAATTATCTTTGTGTGTCTCAGAGTGATGCTGATGGTGATATGGTTTCATTGTTGCAAAGTCATATCATTTCAGATTGTGATCGTTTAAAGGTACGTTATAAAGGTCTTGAGGGCTTTGTTCTATTATTTTGTTGTTGTATACTTAAAGTTTGCTAGATTTTTCTTTTTTTTAGTTGCAAATCGCCCATGCAAACCCTATGATTGTATGGCAGAATAAGTAAAATATTGATGTTCAGTCCTTGCTAAATTTAATGATCGTGCAATCATATATTTTCTACTGGCTTATCTTATTTCTTTTAGTTTATTATATTTTCTTCAAATTTTCTTGCATGTAAATCTATTAATGGTAATTCATTAAGGATTATTCTTTCCATGTGGGATAGAACTAATGAAACAAAGGTTTGTTTCCTCAGTGAGTTTTGAAATGCTAGACCTTGCGAGCCATGATACTTTTGATGTGTGCTGTTTTAAGTGTGTAGGCATAAAATTTTTGATGCAGTTTATCAAATAAAATGTATTAAAAATAACTATCCTATTTGTTAATATCTTTTAAAAAATAAGCCAGTTGAAAACTCCAAGATGCATGACGTGTTCTTGTAAACAAAAAAGTATTAAAAAGAAAACTAAAAATAAAGCTTTGTCTTTCTTTTATTTCTGGTGATAAAAAAAGATGATTTTCAATGCAACTGCTTTCTCCATTCATGTGATTTTTTCATCCTCTATTTTATCAAGACATGCGGGTGATTTCTTTCAAACTTTTGATTAACATGCATGCATCCAAATGCATTTTTTGTGATTTCTGTGTTGATTACATAATGAATATTTTTGAGTTTCATATGGCTTTGAATTTTTTGATGCCAAATAATCCAACTTCCATAGCGAAGGATGGCTTCATCCAAAAATCGGCCATGATGTTGTGAGAGGTAGCTACAAGCACACTTTCCACACCTCTTTACAACCTCCAAACCTCCTCGTCGTTCTGATAGGGAACACTTGAAGATTTCAAGTAAATCCTATCAATAGAGGCAAAAACAGCAATTTGCTATGCAAATCCAATGGAAAAAACAACAAAATAAAACAATATCAAACTAACGGAAAAAATAAAGCAAGATACAATTGATCCTCTATTCGAGAGAAGGATCTTTCTCTCCCAAATCCCTAGACACCGCTAGAGCCCAAAGAAACTAAGCGATCTCAAACTTCAGCCAAATTCAAGATGCTCTAACCCTAAGAAAACAAACTATTTAATGCATACAATTCAAAAGGAAATCTCTAAACAGTCCCTACATTCACTTTCCCTCCTAAACTTTCTCAAAAAACCTTACAAAAATGCTCTAGTGACTCTTGCATTCGGATCGACATACAGTAGAGGCGGAAGAGTTCCGCCTCTATTTTGCACGGGTCAGTCCCGTAGGACCGGTTGGACCGGTCTAACACGTTCATGTTTCTACATCTTCAGGTGTCAGTCATGACAACCATCCAAAATGATCTCTATATCCCTATGCTCACCAAGTCCTTAACAACTTCTATAAATGACTGTTCTCATCTACAATGAAATTGGATGAAGAAAATGTGAAAGGACTGCCTTCATGTGAGTCATTGAAGACCTGGTGATCTTTGATTCAGTTAACGTGAAGACCCCAGGCGTTGATCTTTGATCCTACTGGGCCTGAAGAACACCATTCTACTAGTGATCTTTGGTTTTGCAGGAGGTCTGCTTGCCATCATTGATCTTTATTCCAAATCCAAGTAGAGAACTTTTCTTCTTGTCGTCGATGATTTCAAAACTCGGAGGTGGGCTTCGAGCTATTATTGGGAAGAGATTAATGCATTTATTGGACGACTTTCATACTCGCAGCATGCTAGGGAACATCACTCATCTCTGTAGGCATAATGGGTTTCTGTCATGATCGTAGACTTGCCGGCAAGAAGATAAGAGCGAAACTAGCAGCTTAACTCACATCATCCTAATCTAAATTGCTTGTAGGAGGAAGATGATGTAATAGCCCGTATTTTAACTCCAAAAAAATTTAAAATACGGGCTATTACAGATGATGAGGTGAAACTATCCTTTTTTTTTGCTATTTTATAATTCATTGCCATGTAATATCATGAGGTCCATCAGGTTTTAAATAACAAACAAAATTTTCTTTGACATAATAATGATCCCAATTGTGTGGCCAATCACTTATCGTCAACTAAACAATAGGCACATCATCCTGAAATGATAATCAATTAGCAGATCGTACATATGGTTGCACAGCACAGAGCATCCCATGCATCTTCGATCACATGTGGGGCTATGACCCATAGCCTAAATAGTAAATAAAAATCCCATATGGAATAATTCAAGCCAATTAAATAACACAGCACATGAAAGTAGACCCTATGGCTTAAAAAAATTATAAATGGTCATAGAAGCATCCACCATGTAAAAAATGCGGGATCTATTTCTTAAATAATGAATAAAAAAAAGCTAGGCCATTTACATATTCATTCAATCACAAGCCACATTTTTCCTATCTCGATGTAATTGTGGCAACTAGTTGACATGCGACTACATGACAACAACTTTTAAAAGCATGTTAATGGGGCAAATGCTTAAATTCTTGTTCGTATCGTGCCAATGCACCACAAATATTCCATAAGATGATTAAAGGGGCAAATAACTCTTATGGATAGCCCAAGCATTCTTAAATCATGCATGAGGCACTATTATAAAAGTTGATACTTTGAGAAGCATGGTAATGCACTAAAAAAGTGCGCCAAGGTTTCAAAAGTATTCATGGGCATTAAATCATTCAAGCCACATTTAAATGATAATTTTAAATAATCCACAAATTCTAACATTCATGCTAATGCATTGAAAATTGTGTTGATGTATTTAAAAGCATGATGTATATGAATGGGGTCTCAAATTCAAACTAAAGGTTTTAGTTGATTTCCACCTAACTTAAAATGACTTTAATGTTCTCTCGGGGATAACAAATTACCAAAATGCCCATCTAAGGACTACGTGATGTCTCCAATGCTTTAGTTCAAACACGTATATTGTTGACCTGGTTGCTCAGAGAGATGGTCAATAGACCTGAGTTTGAGCATGTTTTCTCCCAGTTGATCAAAAAATTCTACTAAATCATCACCTTACTATGCATATGTTGACCGTCTACCTATCCACCGACCCACGGTCATTTCCATATTATGAAAGCAACCGCTCCTCCCACGACATAAAATGCCTACCTCTGTCATTCAGAGAGACACACAAATAGAAACCCCAAGGCATTCAAACTCTTTGGCTCTTAAAACCGAGCATATCTCTCCCTCTTGCTCGATCCTCCTCCGTTTGGACGCAAGACCTACAACCAAGCCCCGATCCCGTTTGTCTCCTGATGGGGACATCCGAAGGTAGACATTAATCAAAGGAAGAAACGAAGATCGATGGCCGAGATCCCTTCATTTTATCTTAGTTTATTAATTGTAATTTTTATTTAATTATGCATTTTCCTTTTTTACCCTTACTTAAGGGACTTGTTTTATGTAAGCCCAAGGGGCAAATTTGTCTTTTAGTTTCTTTTAAGGCCTATATATAGAGGCCTTTGCTCTTGTATTAAACAATGATGAATTATTGATATGAAAATTATTTTCCACACTTGTGTTCTTCTTGTGAGAGAGCGTTAGTGAGATTCCTATGAGAGGAATTGAAGTCTTCACTAGCCGCAGGATGGGTCCGGGCTCGTGAATTGAAGTCCCTTGGAGAAGGAAAAAGAATCACCCGTCAGTCTTTGGAAGAGTCCAAGGCTCGCGGTTTTTATTTTCTCTCTTTCGTCTTATCTTCTATCTTTGTTTTTGTTCCTTTTTATTGTTCCTAGTTTTCATCTTCATCCTCTACCTACGTTCACCTTCATCTTCTACATCTCGAAGCCGTCGTCTCCATTTCCACCATGCTGCCGGCTCCGCCTCATTAGTCGCCGGCCGAACTCCCCCTCCCACCCTCTTTGGGATTTCCTAATTTGGTTGGGTTAATTTAGGGATTAATTTGAATTTGAAATTATTCAAATTCAATTTTCAAATTCTTTCCTAATTTGGTTCATCTATTTTTGGAAAGTGTGCTTAATTGAACTCATTTTGAAATTTGAATTCAAAATCTGATTTATTGTCTCACTTTCATAACTCCTAAATTCAAATCTAAGTGCCTTAAATCACCTCTTTCAAAGCCCCCTTATTTCAAATCTAACCGCCGGCCCCCTTTATGAGCCAATTAGGAGTTATTTCCTAATTGCTTCATAACCTCTCTTTGAATAGGTTTCCAATTTGTAAATCCTATTTGAATTTCAAATTCAAAAAGGGATTTAATTATTTCTTTGCATGAGGAGTTAAGTGCCCCCTCAATTTCCTCTCTTTAATTAACGAATTAATCGCAGCTTTAAATCTGGAATTTAATTTCAGATTTAAGGATTATTTCACTTAAGTAATTGGGGTCCACTTATTTGAAATCAAACCCCTCTCTCCTCCCCATTATTCTTTGCCATCAATGACTCCTTAATCACTCCATGAATTTTAGTTAATTCAAATTCAAATTGAGAGTGATTTAATCCAATCAATCCTAATTGAGAGCTATTAATTAGGCGAGTCATTAAACCCTCACCTAATCCCTCTCTTTTTCCCCTCATGTCATTGGCCCACCCTCTCAATTTCTCTCTACGTGCCGTCCACATCAAATCCTAGCACATGAACTTATTTCTACTGCTGTTTAGACAGTTCTCAAAGGCTGTCACGAGTTTCTTTTTTCCTCTTCTGCATTGCCACTTGCTGTCCGACTAGTGGGAAGATCCCTGATTGCTGTCCCCCATCCAGAATTGCCAAAATCAGCCAGGAAAACTGCCCAAGGAGACCTCCCAGCTGCTATCCATCTGATCGGATAATCATAGGTTGCTGCCATCAATTCAGGGACGTCAAAATCAGCAAGGAGGCTGTCCAAGAAGACCTCCCAACTGCTGTCCGACGAACACCTTTTCTCCTAATCCCTGAAACCTGATTTTTCTCTCAGGTTTTGAATTAAAACCTGAAGCTAATTTCAGATTTCTGAAGTC